TTTTTTTTTTTTTTTTTTTTTTTGTTTTTTATTTTTTTCCGTGTCCGGCAACGGATCGCAACCCTCAGTGTTGCCCCCGTACCGGACCGGGGACCGGCAACGGGATTGCAACCCTCGGCGTTGCTCCCGCGCCTCGCTCAGCCAGTGAGCGGGAACCGGTCTGTATGTGGGATCCGAACCCTCGGGCAGGAGCGCCGCCGCGCTTCCCAAGCGGCGCACTTATCCAGTGCGCCACCGGGCCGGCCCAGGGGAACACTATCTTTGAAAATGAAAGAAACAGTCTAGCTCTGTAGGATCATGCAGAACTGGGATCTATTTTGAGTATAAATTACTCCCTTTACAGAACATCTGTGACAAAAACAGTGCTTTTCAAGAGACAATTTTGTAGACTACGCAGATGCAAAGAAATGGATATATACAAAAGTGTTGAATTTTCAAAGCTGGCCACAAGAAAATGGACTATGCAAGCAGAGAATAACTTTAAAACACTGCTCCTGTGAAAAGTGCTGAGTTGGAAATTAATGTCCTTTGGGTCCCTTTTTCCTTTGAGGTTGCTTCAATCCATATAAAGAAACAAGCAATTTTCTGTGTCACTCCCCCCTACAATCCTGCCATCTCCTTCTTTATGGACTGGTGAGTGATCTTTCCACCAGTCAGAACTGCCAGGCAGGACTTCTCTTTGGAAAGACTCAAAGCCTCAGGAACTACGACTCCCACAGTGCACCAAGAAGAGGAAGTGCCGGTCTCAGAGCTGTCTCAACACTTTTATCTTTTCAAACAGTGCCATCTGGCGGGCCTTAAACCTTAAACTAAAATTCTAACTCAGGGCATTCCTCTATCCATAATCCTAGTGTGGCTCTAACCAACTGTTTTCAGGTATCAAAATTCTTCAGCCCAAATATATAAAGAACTCTTACAAATCAATAATAAAAAGACAAATAACCCAATTAAAGATGGTCAAAGGCTGGTTAGCTCATTTGGTTAGAGCGTGGTGTTATAACACCAAGGTCAAAGGTTCAGATCCCAGTACTGGCTATCCACACACACACACACAAAAAAGGACCTGAGTAGACATTTCTTCAAAGAAAATATACACATGGCCAGTAAACACATGAGAAGATGCTCAACATCATTTCATCATCAGGGAAATGCAAGTCAAAACAACAAGATAAGCACTTCACACCCTTTAGTTTGGCTATAATCAAAAAGACAGTGACAAGTGTTGGTAAGAATGTGGAGAAATTTGAGCCTTCATGCACTGCTGGTGGAAATGTAAAATGGTGTGGCCACCTTGGAAAAACAGTCTGGCAGTTCCTACAAAAGTTAAACAGAGTTACCATTTGACCCAGCAATTTTACCCTTAAGTATATATCTAAGAAAAATGAAGACATATGCCCACACAAAAACTTGTACATAAATGTCTATAGCAGCATTATTCTTAATAGCCAGAAGGTGGAAACAACCCAAATGTCTATCAGTGGATGAAAGGATATGTAAAATGTGGTATGTGTATACACAGGAATATTATTCGGCAATAAAAAAGAATGGAGTACTGATACACTATACAAGATGGATAAACCTTAAAAACATTGCATTAAGTGAAAAAAGCCAGTCAAATAAGACCACATTCTATTTATATGAAGTGTCCAAACAGGAAAATCTATAAATGAAGAAAGTAAAGTAGTAGCTGCCTAGGACTGGAGGGATGAAAGGGGTAAGGGTGGATGATAGCCAAAGGGTATGGGTTTCTTTTGGGAGTGATAAAAGTGTTCTATAACTGATTGCAGTGATGGTTGTACAACTCTGTGAATATACTAAACTACTGAATTTACACTTTTTTTTTTTTTTTTTGGCAGCTGACCGATATGGGGATCCGAACCTGTGACCTTGATGTTACAAGGCTGCACTCTAACTGAATTTACACTTTAAGTGAATGAATTGTATGATAAATGAATTGTATCTCAATAAAGCTGTTTAAAAATTCTTCAGGCCAAATGTATAAATGCACTATTTTCTAAATTGCTCTTGCATCTAGAGCAGGGGTTGGCAAACTCTTTCTGTAAAGAGCCAGAGAGTACGGGCCGGCCCGGTGGCGCACTAGATAAGTGCGCCGCTTGGGAAGCGCAGCGGCGCTCCCGCCCGAGGGTTCGGATCCCACATACAGACCGGTTCCCACTCACTGGCTGAGTGAGGCGTGGGAGCAACACCGAGGGTTGTAATCCCGTTGCCGGTCCCCGGCCCGGTATGGGGGCAACACTGAGGGTTGCGATCCGTTGCCGGACACGGAAAAAGACAAAAGACAAAAAAAAAAAAAAAAAAAAAGAGCCAGAGAGTAAATATTCTAGGCTTTTCAGGCCATAAGGTCTCTGTTACAACTGCTCAACTCTGCCGTTGTAGTGAAAGCAGCCACAGACAATATGTAAACAAATGAGTGTGGCTGTGTTCCAATATCATATTATTTACCAAAAGAGATGGCAGGCTGGACCCCTGATCTACAGACTACATAACATCCCTCAGTCCACAATGCTACCCTATGAGGAAGACTGGGTAGGTAATGTTTCTGAGGTGGTAGAGACTCTGAGAAGCTAAATATCTTGTCCAGGTGACAGTTTGTGAATGGTAGAGACAAGATTTCCAGCCTTGATTTCAGTGGTGTTTGCGCTCAGCCAGATATGCTGCTCCTCCAGAAGCATATATCCCCTTCTGGGTAGTTGCTAGACGTCTGCCAAGCTGGTACAGAACTGGACTGCCACAACACCTTCACATAGGTCTCCTTGTTGCAACATCTCCATCACCTTCATGACCCTTTCCTAAACTCTTCCTCTCCTTTTGATAACCTTCAATAGCATGGCAGTTCCTATGGGGTCAAGTTCAATCAGCTTGCCAACTGAAATCTTCATCAAGAAGGACCCACTTGGGCTTAATCTTCCACCACTCCAAAGATGCACAAAAATCTCACAACTGGAAAGGTCTTTGTAGAGCACACATAGGTCTGATTTTGTACCTCCTTCCCACGATGCCTCATCCATTCATTCACGCATGCATTCATTCCTATTTTCTTTCACATTTTACTATCTACCATGTGCTGGGTACTTCCAAGAGCCTAAACTAGTAAGTCTGCACTAGAAAGGAAAAGAAGATGGTAGATCAATGCTACCATAATGCAAAGTGAGCATCCACTAACCTAAATTAACCCCCTGCTCTTGCCAACTTGGTGAACTCCTGAATGTGTCCCCTTTGCTTGTGCTATGCCTCCCTGAAATGCCCTTCCTTCCTCATTACTGGCTCTTCATGACCCACCCCCAGGCCCTTCACCTGGGCCCTGATAAGTGCAGCCCCCTGCTGCATTTAACCCCTGATGGAGTTTGGATGTGTGGTCCCCTCCAAAACTCATGTGGAAATTTGATCCCCAGTGTGGCAGTGTTGGAAACAGATTGAGTCATGCAGGCAGATCCCTTGTGGATGGATTAATGCTCTCCCTCAGGGAGAGGGGAGTGAGTGAGTTCTCGCTCTATTAGTTCCCATGAGAGCTTGTTGTTTAAAAGACACTGGCACCTTCTCTCTCTCTTGCTTCCTCTCACCATGTGATCTGCTTGTACCCACTGGCAGTCTACTACTTTCCGCCATGAGTAGAAGCAGCCTGAGGCCCGTGACAGATGCAACCATCCCAGAATCGTAAGCCAAACAGACCTCTTTTCATATAAATTACCCAGTCTCAGGTATTCTGTTATAGCAACACAAAACTGACTAAAACAACCCCCTTCTCTATTTGTATAAAATTATAGAACTTGACAGCCAGAAGGACCATCAGAGGCAACCTAGTCGTTCAATTCACACATGCCCAAGATCACACTGTTCCTTAGAAGTTCAGCCAACATCAGATCCCAGATTTGTACTCCTGCCACAATGCCAAACTGCCTGTGGAGTTCTGGATTTCCTAAAGCAGGCAGTGTTACGGTAAGGTCCCTCGCACCTCACTGTCAACCTCTGATGTTCTAGATACCCAATATCCTTCCACCTCTTCTTTGAACTCCTACTCATCTATCAAGGCTCAGCTTAAATGCCTTTCACCTAAGACCCTTCCTAGACCTTGAACACCACCCAAAGGGAAAGAGGCGCTCACACAGCTTCTTTTTACTTCCCTTATCACAGGATATTACAACCGTTTGCACTTGGCAGTGAACATCACTCAGGTAGGGCCATGCCTGTCTTGAACACCACTGTGCCTCCTGCTCCCAGCACAGAAAAACTAACTGAACGGAAAGAGAGTATTACTACTCTTCATTCATTGACGTGAGTCACTACCATTCTTACCCTAAGACCTCTCTCCAACAGCAATGAAAGAGTCACTACCTTCTTCTAGGCCTCATCAGAGTCAGGGGTGGAGAGAGGGGGCATGTCGTCAACTCCAGTTTAGTAGAGAAGACTAGAGATGGCAGGGCTTGTGGTCGGAGGAAGGGTCAGGAAACCTGCAGAGAAAGTGTCCAGGATGGAGGACTGAGGGCCGGGGTTCTAGGCCCCTTCTGTGCCAGGTCTAGTGCTGGGAGCTTGGGACACAGAAATCAGTCACACAGGCCTGTCTTTGCCCTCTACAAACCACTCACAGTCCTTAAAGTCCTGTTTGAAAATACGGTTGATACCTGCATCCCTTATTAAAGAAAGAAGAGCCATACGCTTTAAGAAAAGCTGCACAAGACAAATGTCAATTACCGTCTCGTGCCGTCATGCACTGTGCCTCTTCGGATCGTCCCTGCCCTCGTCTGGGCTTCACTTTCCTATCTCTAACAGGACCCGTCTGGCCTGCATAACCCGGCCTCGGTCACCCGCCCTGCACCGCTCAGCCCGCCTTGCAAAGACGAAGCCCTCAGCCCACCTTACCCCGGCTCGGCTCCTCGCCAAAAGGAAACGTGTCCTGGCCTCACCTGTCGGGGGTGCATAGGCCCGGGCTGGGGACTGCGGGGATAGCCCCGGCCCCACGGAGGCGGTGCGGCCACCCGGGGCCCGGTTCAGGAGGCGGCGACCCCCGTCCCGCAGCCGGAGGCAGCTCCTCCACATCGCACCCGAGGGCCTCGGAAGATGCGCGGCGCGAAACCTGTGAACAGTGAACACAGAGCGAAAGGACCCCCAGGCCGCACGCTCTAGCTCCTCCCCAAGCCTTCAGGTTCCCCCGGACGCCGCCATCTTGCACATGACACCAACGGCGCGCCGTCGCCGCCGCCGCCGCGCGCCTCCCGCGCACACACCCCGTCAATTAGCGTCATAATCGCACCTCGCCCCGCCCCTCCGCGCCGCGCCTCGGAAGAAGACTACGAGTCCCAGAGGGCGTCTCGCGCAGCCCGCCACGTGTTTTCTCCGCCCGCCAATGGGCGGAGGCGCCGCGTGAGCCTGCTCCCGCCCTCCCCGGCGCGGCCCAGCCTGCTGTACCGTACATCCCCCTCGGCCGCACAGCAGCA